TTTTCCCAGATTCATACTTCGTACATTCCATGTTCCAATTTTCAGTGGATGTTTACAGCTGTTTCTCTTCATTTTATGTTGTTGCCCATAAGCAAATGCAGGTTCTGTGCGTTTTTCTCCCCCTGAGCTTAACTGTATTCATGTCATTTATAGCTGGGGAATTTGCAGGAGAATCCAGAAATCCATTATTTTCTGGATCAAGACAGCTGTTTCAGGAGCCGCCATCTTGGGAGAGCTTATCTTGATTGTACCAGGATTGATAGGATTAGGAGAGAACATCATGATTGTATCTTGATTATATCAGGATTGTATCAAGATTGACATCGAAATTTAAAGAGACGGTATAGACATAAGCCCAAACGGCCACCACTAATCTGTCTGTCGTGCTGTGGTGGTTTGAGTTGCTGTGATTCTGAGGGCTATACCACCGGTGTTTTAAGTAACCAGCAGGGTCACCCATGGTGGACAGGTTTCAGATGAGCTAAAAAACAAAGACAGATTAGGAAGAAAGAGTGACAAACTACTTGCGAATCACTAGTCACTGAAAACTCTGTGAATAGCAGAGAAACATTGTAAATCTTTACAGGAGCAGAAAGCCTCATCTTTCTCCCGCGGAACAGCTGGTTGTTTTGAACTGCTGACCTTAAGGTTCGCAGCCCGATTCATAACCACTGTGCTACCAGAGCTCCTCACATATCTATATACCTTTGGAAAATTCAGTTACTGTTTCTGCATTTGGGATTCTAGTATAATAATAATGAAGATTTAAGGTGTTCAGTATTCAACTTGTTATCTATACTGTAACTTTCCCTGGATTATTGGATTGTGGTTTGGGCTTACTTTCCAAGTAGGTATGATTACCAAAATGCTGAAAGGACATCATCACTATGAAAAGTCCTTTTAATGTAGTTGAACTTCTGGGTAATCAGCAGACAGGGTACTAATAGGTTTTGTTGTTGTTGTTGTTTTAAATTAAACAGTATTTTCTACAAAATCTATCAGATTAGTGTGTGTGTTTTAAAACAAAGTAATTTTTTCATTTAGTTGGCCCAACACTAAGTAAGGAGGAAAAAGAGTTGGAAAGACGTAAAGAGTTAAAGAAAATACGAGTAAAATACGGTTTACAGGTAAGGATGTTAGATATTGTTTCATGTGTTAAACTGTACATCTAGTTTGAATACAAATGCTTGCTGTTAGGCTAACTTCATTAAATATATAAGAAAGAAAGTTATTATATAATTTTGAAATTCATATAATTTCTTTTGCTGTTAAATGCCATGAAGTAACTTCTGACTCATAGCGACTCTGTAAGGTGCCATAGAAGCAGCTGGTGGGTTTGATCCCACCTACTTTGTGGCTCAAACCAACCTTGAGTCCAGTGCTTCTCCTATAGTGCCACTAATCTAGCAGCTAGTGAGAATGGAGTAGAAAAATTGTAATGATGCTCTGTATTTCACTTCTAGCTTTACAGACCTTGCATTAAAATGTTTTGGCACTGGGCTACGAACCACAAGGTCTATAGTTCAGACCTACCAGCTGTTCTTCAGAAGTTCTGTACGGGGTCGCTATGAGTCAGAATTGTCTCGACAGCACTTAAAAATAATTGATGACCGTATTTAGAGAACTAATAATGCCTTATTTCAAGGTTAATTATAAAGCTACCATAATTAAGACATGTGTGGTGGTGGTGGCTGTGTGCTGTGGAGTTGGAATCGACTCATAGCGACCCTGTACAGGGTTTCCAAGGCTGTAAATCTTTACAGGAACAGAAAGCCTCATCTTTCTCTTGTGGAGCAGCTGGTAGTTTTGAACTGCTGACCTTAAGGGTCGCAGCCCGATTTGTAACCTCTATGCTACCAGAGCTCCTTTAAGACAGGACTTTGCTTATGGATATCTAATTGTGGAAACCCATTTGTTGGGTCTAATGGTAGTGCTAAGGAGTTCTGGTGTGGTGCTGAGACTACACAGGACCGCAAGTCAGCAGTTCAGACCCACCAGCTGCTCCTCGGAAACCCTATCCAGAGCTGCTATAAGTCAGAACCGACTTGTAGGCACTTAACAACAATAGTGGTAATGCTGTATTTCACTTTTTGAGGAGCCAGGTCAGCATCTAATACCAAAAGCATAATCACAGAGAACAAATTGATTAACTGTACTTTGTTAAAATAAAAACTTCAGGTGGTATGTGTTTTGTTATGTGTATTTTCAACACAATTTTTAAAAAAGCTATCTATTAAACAAATGATAGCAAATGAAAAGATAAGCCATAGTCTGCGAAAAAACTTTAAAGTCACATATTTGATAATGGGCTTATATCTTGAATGTATGAAGAACTCTAAAAGCTTAGTAATTAGAAAACATTCAACCCAGTTTCAAAAAGGTACAAAAGGTGTGAATAGACTCTTCACCAAAGATAATACACATAATGGAAAATAAACACATCAAATGCAAATTCAAACCACATTGAGATACCACTACATATTTATCATTAAGTGCCTTTGATTTGGTTCCAACTCAGTGACCATAAATAGCGTTTCTAAGGAGCAGCTCGTGGGTTTGAACTGCCAACCTTGCAGTTAACAGTCTAGTGCTTATCCGACAGTGCCACACCAGGTCTAAAATTTATGAAAGAAATGAGAGAAAACTGGCTATGCCACATGTGGGGATGTGAAGAAACTGCAACTTTACACACTGCTGGTGGGAATGCAAAATGATAACAGTCAGTCTGGAAAACAACGTACCAGTTTCTTAAAAAGTTATATGTTCACCTACCATGTAGTCTAGCCATTCCACTCAAAGTTATTTGGTGATGGTGGTGGTATGCCGTGGAGTCAGTTCCAACTCATGGTGACCCTTCATAGGGTTTCTAAAGTTGTAAATCTTTACGGGAGCAGAAAGCCTCATCTTTCTCTCACAGAATGCTTGGTAGTTTTGAACTGCTGACATTGAGGTTAGCAGCCCTATGGCTATCAAAGCTGCTTAAGAAATATTAAAGTATGTGTTCATGGCATCTCTTTTTTAAATAGTCAAAATCGGATAAAAATTGAACCATTTGTCCTGGAAGTATATAAGAAGTCATTAATATTTTTAGTTTACATTTAAGAAATTGAAGCTTAGGTCACCTAGCTGCTAAGTGGCAAAGCTAAATGTAAAATCTAAGTCTTAATTGTATTTCACCATACCTTTTCCAGTTTATGAAGTTGAGGGAAAATCAACAAAATATTACTTTTAATTGTTACTATTGCTAATAAAGAAAATACAATCGGAAATAATGTCAAAATGGCCAATTTGGGAAGAAAATACAAGATATAAAAAGACAATATGAAGTTTTCTCAAGTTTTAACAAACATTTTGTTTAATTTTTAGGGGAAAAACCATCATGGTTCTGTATGTTTCTTTTTTATAAATTTTAAATTGCTCTATCAGTCTTTAGCATCTCTCTGAATAAATGTCATGTGTACTTTTTATGTAAAGATCAAGTAAATACCAAAGGAGAAAGGACACTCTCTCTGAAAGGTGACAACTGAATTGACTCCCTCTTCTGTTGTGCCAAGGAGCCCTGGTTACTCAGTGATTGCAGGGCTTGTCTGGTAACATAAGGTTGGCCATTCAAACCCACCAACCACTCAGTGGAAGTAAACTGTGGCAGTTGCTTCTGGAAAGATGTAGCAGTAAGATGTGGCTGTCTGCTTCTCAAAAGATATACAGCCATGGAAACTGTTATGGGGAGTTCTACTCTGTCCTATTAAGTCGTTATGAATCAGAATCGACTTCACAATAATGGGTTAGCTTTGGTTTGTTTGGTTTCTTCTGTGTCACTGCCACACCTTGAGTGTATCTTTATTTTTGAACCAGATAAATTATCAGGCCAAAGATTCTGTGTGTCTTCCATCCTAAATGGTAAGGTTCTTTGGATTCCAGCACCTAACATGAGGTTTAACACATTTTTTACTCAGTAAATATTTGTTGAGTGACCAGTTATGAAAATGAGCTGTATTAAAGCAGATAAGTTGCTGTTGCTAGGATATTTTTTTTCTTCATTTGTTTAACACTTGCTACATTTTTTGCTAACTAAAAATATTCTCATACTACTTTTGGTCATTTGAAACTTTCTGTCTCTTAGAGAAAAAGTGAATTTTTTTGTTCACAAAAAGGTTTAGAAAAATTCCATTACCTTTCAGTTCCATTTTCCACAAACTTTTTGAAACCCCCTCTATTTCTTTGAATACAGGCAGTTCATATGAGAAAATGAGTATATTAAATTAAAATAAACTAAAGTTTTACAGTGTTTCCTTTTTACAATGAATATTTATGTGTGCTACAACATGAAATCATATTAAAAACATTTTCAAGAACGGTCAGTAGCATGTATTTTGATTTTCATTGTGCCATGATTTCCTTGTTGATAGAAACCACATTGAGCCATATTTGCTAATTAAGGCAAATGTACAGACATTACATTATTATTCATCAGTTCTCTTTTCCTGGATGAGTAGTATTTTGTGTTTGTAAAGAATATAGACTACGAAGATGAAAAGGCTCTGAAGAATCCGAAATATAAAGATAGAGCTGGAAAACGCCGGGAACAGATTGGCAGTGAAGGGACTTTCCAAAGAGACGATGCACCTGCATCTGTTCATTCGTAAGTATCAGATCCTGATAGCTGGAGACATTGTCTGTTTTACTGTGTAGTCATAGTCATAGGGTAGTCTCTGACTTACAGGGCTATACATTCTGATAGTCTTTTCAATGAATGCTTGGCAGAAACATTGCTACCTGTTTCTCTAGTATCAGAATGCCATTGTTCTCTAGAAAATTGCTGAGTATATAAGTGTATGGACTTTTATAAACACACATATGTACACCTAACATTCTGCTTAGTCAGTTAAGTGAGTTGAGTATACATCTGTATACTAGATTAGTAAGAAACTGGTATGGGCTGATAGTTTTTTAGTAATTATTTTAATAACTCAAATATTTTTGTTTTAGTGACCTAAATATGATTTTTCTCATCTCATTTTGATTCTTTTATTTACTCTGGATTATTGTTGTTGCTATGTGCCGTCAAGTCAGTTCCCCATAACGACCCTGTATAGGGTTTCCCAGAAGCAGCAGTTCAAATGGCTTTGCAGTCTGGCACATTGATCCACAGCGCAACAACAGGACTCCTTCTCTGGATTGTTGTTGTTGTTAAGTGCCGTCAAGTCGATTCTGACCCATAGCAACCCTGTACAGGGTTTCCAAGGAGTAACTGATGAGCTTGAACCACCGACTTAGTGATTCAAACGACTTTGCAGTCTGGCGCATTAAACCACAGTACCACACCAGGACTCCTTCTCTGGATTGTTGTTTTTATGTGCCGTGGAGTCGGTTCTGACCCATAGCAACCCTGTACAGGGTTTCTGAGGCTGTAAATCTTAACAGAGCAGAAAGCCTCATCTCCCGCAGAACAGCTTGTAGTTTCGAACTGCTGAGACTATGAGATTAGCAGCCTGATTCGTAACCACTATGCTACCAGAGCTCCTTTCTCTGGATTGTTGTTGTGAAGTGCCGTAGAGTCAGTTCTGACCCATAGTGACCCTGTATAGGGTTTCCGAGGAGCAGCTGGTGAGCTTGAACTGCCGACCTTGCAGTTCAAATGACTTTGCAGTCTGGAGCATTAGCCCACAGCACCACACCAGGACTTAGATAGTATTAATAAACAGAAAGATGTGATCTTGAGGCTTATCCTATTGGCCTATTTTTTCATTTAATAGTACATTATGTTCTATTTTTTCAGAAAGTTAATTCTTGAGTTTAATTAAAATATAAATTTGCAACACAGAACAGAAAACGAATTATCAAATTTTAATTATCTTGTCATTAAAGATATACACTTTAAAAAACAAACATTTTAATGTCCATGAAATTGATAGTTTATAATTATAAGTGATTGCAGTTTTTTCTTGTTAAGTGCCGTGGAGTCGGTTGTGCCTTATAGCGGGCCTGTATAGAGCTTCCAAGGAGCTGATGGTGCGTTTGAACTGCTGACCTTGTGATTAGCAGTCCAATGATTATTCTACAATGTCCCACCTAATTTCACTTAGTTTTAAGTTTTATAAATGGAATAATAATTCAGTATTTATCTTACAACTCATTCTTTTGGTTAACATTATTTTGTTAGATGTCGTTTATTTTTGTTGCTGTATAATAAATATATCACAATTTGTTTATCATTTATTGGCCTTTGGGTTTCCAGTTTGGGCTGTGTTATTGCTGCAGAGACATCCGTACACCTCTTGGTGCTCATGCGCTTGCTTTTCTGTTAGGTGTATTCATAGGAGTGGAGGAGCAGCTGTATATCCTCAGCTTTATTTATGTATTGCCTAACAGTTTCCTAAAGTGGTTTTTAAAACTGACTAAGCTTTTTAAAAAATCATCTAATTGGTTGTTTTTAAAAAATCAAGTATCTTAATTTTTCTTTTAGTGAAATCACTGATAGCAACAAAGGTCGTAAGATGTTGGAGAAAATGGGTTGGAAAAAGGGTGAAGGCCTAGGGAAGGATGGTGGAGGAATGAAAACTCCGGTAAGACTCGCATTTCTTTTCCATTCATTTATTCTTTTTTTTTTAAATAAGTTTTTATTGTGAATCGAGTGATAGTTTACATGGGAGAGCATCAGCTTTACATTCATCCTATCGTTATTTTGTTTCATTGCGATGATTACAATCCCCTCCATGCATCATCATTCAACAGCATTTGCTTTCAATCTCTCTTGTGTTTTTTTAGATGTACACCATCCATTTATTCTTACCAGTAGGTATTTACTGTCTAGCTACTCAGTCTCAGGCACGTAGAAATGTTGTAGCAAGCAAAAACAAACAGTATTTCTACCTTCCTGGAGTTGACAATTCACAAATATATGTATGTGTACATAATGTTTATATATAAGGGAGCTTAAGAAAGTGTGGAAAAAATCCTGTTACATTTTAATTCAAATTTACCACTAACTTTGAAAACCCCCTTATATGTACGCTCATTGTTTTTGATGTTTTTAATAAGTCTTTATTAGAGCTTTTTAAAAAATGACTTATTAAAAAGACATTTCCTAGCTTCTACAGTGAAGCTTGGGCTCAGACTCCCTGTGGTCACATCAGCTCTGGTTCCTGCCAATCTTGTAGAGCAGAGGAGAACTGTTCCTTTGGGTTTCTAAGACTCAGTATTATGGAGGCAACCTCACCTATGTCCTGTGGAGTGGCTGGGGGGTTTGAACACCTGACGTTTTGGATAGCAGCTCAACACTTAACCCACTTCACTTTGAAGCTAGGATAATAAGTATTATTTCCTAAGCCAAAGGTTCTTCTGTGTCTTAGTTGTTTTTAATGACTTCTTAATATGCCTCCAATAACTATTGCAAGAATGGTCACAGGGTTTGTATACAAAAAGGCAGGATGTATTATCTGGAGAGTTTGTCTCAGGTTCAAGAATCAAATCATGTAACAAGCAATATAGAGCAAATGTCTGGAAAGCTATATTGTAGCTGCCATAGTGTAGGCCCTTAACTTCCCAGTCCTGCATCATTCTCATCATCAATTAGATTAGTTCGTTGTGATCATAGGGTTGTCTTGGGTTGATTTTTAGAAGTACATCTTCAAAAATATGAAGTACGAGTCATTCTGCCCACAACACTCTCTAGTCTTCACTTGGTTGGATATTTCATTGCAGTAGCCACACAGAACTCCAACTCTATACTCAAGAGTTATGAGGTTTACTAGGGAATTAACAGGTTACGTTGCAGGGTCAGAAAATACTCAAGGCACAGTTCTTCCATTCAGGACAGCCTCTCTTCAGTCGTGGGCACAGGCATGCATGGGCAGTTTTAGGACTGCTGATGGCACTCGGCTGTGTAGCTCCACGAGTCAGCAAGCATAGCTCCCCTATTTGTGTCCAGACACCCCCCACTCTACAAGCAAGGATCCTACTTGAAGTCATTCAACTTTACTTGCTCCGTGGCCTAGGCAGTCTACTGATCTGTCATGTGCTTTGGTTCTTGATTCTGCTGCTTCTCCTCTGCCACTTCTCCAGTGACACAGCCTCCTGTCCCTGAGTCAGGGAGCTTCACCTTGCAGGGATCTCGGTGTCCAGCAGATGTGTTCTACCCCTGGCTCCTCCTCTTTTATGTTAGTGAGATCCCACTTCCTGCTTCTGAGAGAGTTCATTGTATGCCCATGCTAGAGTTTCAAGTTTTTACAATTAAAATTAACCTTGCTAACATCCACAGATGAATTATGTCATGCTTTCAGTATCTTATCTCACCTTCTCTTACCTGGACCAATCAGGAAAAGAGTCGTTTGAAGAGAGTTACAAAGACTAAGTCTAGATGAGACATAATGAACAATTCACTTCACCACAAGATCACCAGATTTTTCTTTCTAGTGTATCTTCATCTGGAAGCGTTGTAATATTATCAGCATCACAGAAATATGTACAAAGTATGAATCTAGAAAAATTGGAAATTGTCAAAAATGAAATGGCGGGAATAAGCATCAGTATCTTAAGGCATTAGTGAGCTGGAATGGACTAGTATTGGCCATTTTGAATCTGACAACCACATGGTTTACTATGCCAGGAATGACAAATTGAAAAGGAATGGTGTTACATTCATCATCAAAAAGAATATATCAAGATCAGGTATGAGGTACAGTGCTTTCTGTGATAGGTTATAATATTTATGCACCTACAGAGAAGACCAGTTAATACCACTGTTATTCAAATTTACACACCTACCAAAAAAACCAGTGAGGATGAAATAGAA